TCTTATCTCCTAATTAATTATTTTTATCAATAGTCGGTCCCCTCAAGTTTAGGGACTATTGAGTTTGATAATGGTGAGTAATCTGGTACCAACTTAGAATAGTAAGTTATAGGTCTAACTCAACACTACAAAACAAACTTATAAGGTGAAAGTTATCATCCATTTATATACTCTTTAATTATCTTATTTTTAGTCGATGTGGGACTTAAGTTTTTCCTAATAAATAATTATCGTTAATAGTAAATTTTGGTATGATGTAAATATATTTTTAATGGCCATTATATATTAGTCATTAATATTTTTATTAAATAATAAAATAAAGGTAATTAATTTATTGTCGCTAATTAATTGTCGCTAATAATAAATTTTGTTGTAGTGGATGTCCACAAATATTTCATTTTAGTATTTATTGTAAAATACAAAATGAATACGTAATAAGCAAAGGAAACAATGTAATTTTGTTCAAGAAAATGAGAATGTGTTTACAAAGATGGTTATTGTATGACAAAAGGAGAATATACATAAATGAACTTTTGGGAATCAAAATGGTAACGACCAAAGGTATTTGCTATATAAGTGACGCTTTTCAGATGAACAATACTAATACTACACTTCAATAGCTTTGGTTACTCGTCAATAAACTTTAGAAGATAATAAAATTCAATACATCATTTTACCTAGTTTCTAGTTTTGCATGTGATTCGCCCCAGTTCAAAATTTGACACGATACTTTTGATAGGCCATTTTTGTTTTTTATTGTAATTTTATCCTAATTTTTGCCTAGATCTCTCTTTTTAATTTTCAACCTACCAAGTCATTCTAACTTTTACCTAGATCGCCCTTTCAAGTTTTTAGTCTTGTGAGCTTTTTCTAGGTATAATATTTCTTCAGCGTATCAAAATTCATAGGATGTGGAAGGTCATTGTCATCCATGTTTGTGAGGATTAGGGCCCCTCCAAAGAAAGCCTTATTAATTGCATAAGGTCCTTTAAAAGTTGGTGCCCATTTATCAAAATGATCTTTTTGAACTTGTAGAATTTTCTTAAATACCAAATCTCCTTCTCAAAACTCCCTAGATTATACTTTCTATTCAAATGCCTTGTTCAATCTTTTATGATATAACTGGCCTTAGCAAATTGCATTCAACCTTTTTCCCTCAATGAGATTTAATTGGTCCAAACAAGCTTGGACCTGCTTTGCTTGTTCAATTCAACTTCCATTAATATACTTAAAACCTCAATTGGAAGGACTACTTCCATTCCATAAACCAAGGAAAATAGGGCTTCCCTAATTGAGGTACGAATTGAAGTACAATATTCATGTAAAATAAATGGAAATATCTCATGCCAATATTTATATGTCACCACCATTTTTTGAATGATTTTATTGATGTTCTTATTTACTACTTCAACTGCCCCATTCATCTTTGGGGGATATGGGGAGAATTATGATACTGAATTTTGAAGTAAACACATAATTCTATCATCATCTTATCATTCAAGTTGGTTGTGTTGTGAGTAATGAGTTTACTTGACACACTGTAACAACAAATCAACTCTTTTTTATTGAACTTTACAACCACATTTTTAGCCACATGGACATATGAAGTAGCTTCAACCCATTTGGTGAAATAGTCAATTACAATTCATTAATAGGACTAATGACATATATCCATTCCCTATATCGAAAATGGCCAAGATGAAGAGAAAACATTAAGGGAAGTTGGTGGAGCATTGATGTTATTAGCATATGTTTGGCATTTATAACATTTCTTCACATAATTAAAGCAACCACTCTTCATGGTCAATAGGGATGGCATCAGGGTAGGTAGGTGCAAGTTTTAATATCCCTGTCCCTATACCTTATACTCATCATCGTTCTCATACTTAACTGATATGGTATTAATTTGTATCTCCATCCCTATCCATGTTTGGTACTAGGTATATTTGTACCCGTTCATAAATTAATTAAATATTTGTTTACAAATAAATATTAAAAAATAATAATTTCAACAAAGTAGCAATTTCAAAATTATAATTAAGTTTATTTTGGCATAAATTTAAAATAGAGTAAGAATTACATAAATAAAGTAAATTCTAAAAAAAATAAATTAAGTTTCTAAAAATTCAAAGAGAGGATTGGTACGAGTATGGATAAGAGGCAGGTAAGTATATACCCATCCCCATCCTCGTACCTGATTCAATAAATGAAGTATTATCCGTACCCGTATCTATCCTTAGACAAACTAGATATTCTCCATCAAAGTTAGAAATATTTTGAACATTACCTATGGTTACGAGTTTATTTATCATCCCTAATAGTCAACTAATATTAACTAACTCTTAAGATTTTTCTTGCCATGGCATGCCCATTTGCATGTGTCAGAAGAACCTTCATAAACCTCTTTCATTATCCTTTGTGTTTCGACAATATCTACACATCTAAGAAAAATCATATTACAATTTCTCTTGTACAACACATTCCCATTTAGAAAGAAACTTGATAGAGATGAGGATGTGACACAAATTTTATACGCATTAGATATGAGGACAAATATGTGTATAGGGTATAAACTTGGAGACAAAAATATTGAAACCCTTATGTGCCTTGTCCCATCACATTGTCATGCCTAGGTGAGGAGAAGTTATAGACTTAATAAATTTAGTTGGTTGAAGTTAAATGTTGGGAGAAGAAAGAAGGGATCAAGATAATAGATAAAAATCCCTATCGTAACATTCTCGTTCAATGAACAATAAAAATTATAAGATAATGCTTATTTTATGCAATTATGATTTATAATAAATAAATATTTTTAAATATATAAATTAGAATAGTTATATTAAGTGAAATTATTTTTAAGAACTATTTTTTATATATTTAATATATTTAAAGATAATTATTTATTTAAAATTTTAATTATATAAAAGAGACATTTATTTTATGTATAACATAAATTGAAATATTAAATTAAAATTTTAAATTATTTTTTTTAATCAATTTTTAAGAATAAATCTAATTGTGAAAGAAATCTTATATTTTGGTGTAATTTTCATATTAAAATTAGGGATTTAATTAAAAGTATTTAAAGCAAATAAAAATAAAAAGTTAATTAGTTATCATATGGAGACAATATAAATAAGAAGCACATGCTTTCATAATCTTTAATAAATAAAAATAAAAAATAAAATTAATGTTTTACATATATTTTAAAGTGCACTATAAAAAAATCATGAGTTTTTCTTCTAAATTACATTTTATAATAAGGATAAGAGAGAATAATTATATATATATATATATATATATATATATATATATATATTCTAAAAATAAAATAAAAATGGAGGGACCATGACAATCCTTCCCTTTCTAAACTCTGCCACCACTTATGGCGATATCATATTAACTAAACATTTTCAACTAATTGCTTGACAAAATAAGAAAATCAAACTATTTACACGTTGAGTGAATTTTTATTCCTGTTTTGGAGCTAAAAATCCCATCAAATTAAAGTGATAAAAGAAGCAAAAACTACTATTATTTTCTTCTGAGAAACTTGCATTGCATATGATGCGATTTCACTACAACAAAAGGTATAATTAACCGCAATTATTTAGTGGCAATAAGACAATTGTCTGCATATCATTATTAGCTAAAGTGTTTAGTGGCCAATAAAAATTAACCGGTAAAACTTTATTTATAGTGGTAATTTTTAAAAAATTTTGTTAATATTAAATTTTCATTTGGAATTTATTTTTTTTACAAAATTCCTCACACTCTCGATGCATAACGCAGTCTTATTTTTTTCTTTGCCTCACTTCTCACTGTCTCATCTCACTCTCACTCTTGTGTGATTTCAAGCTTCTGTCATGGCTTCTTCTATCTCTTGGGCATAGCTTTAATGGTTGCGTCAACTCATTCTCGTATTGGATCCTCATATGGTAATATCTCTTGTGATTTTGTCTTCAATTTCAATTTTAGAGTTTGTTTTGTATGATTCATTTCTTTTTTTTTCCATTTTAAACTCTTTCTCTATCTTCATCTCTTTCTATTATAGAATGAATGTTTCAATTTGATTGTGATTTTTATGTTAATCTTTTAAATACAAAATAGTTATGTTTGGAATGTTTGGAAATTTTGGAAAATTTGGTTTGGGAAGGCGAGTTGCTGGGCATGTTGATCATGCTTTGTTGTTATGTATAAGTTGCTTCTGGCATAATTTTATTGTATAAGTTGCTCTGTTGCTGCATTATCCACATGCTTAGGGTAGATTTGAAATAGTGGCAGTTCTTAGAGTCTTGTTTGTATTTTTTTTGTTGGAAAGTTGAGATTTGATTTGTATTTTAAGTGGCATGGTTGATATGTGATTTGATATATTTAATTGTGCATTTATATCGTTTACTGTAATTATAGCTGTGGCCATTTTTTTGAATGTGCATCTCGACATTGTGATACATGGTTTTGATTTACACCCGAGATTGCTATGTTACTGAATTTTCTGCTTTTATTTCCATGCATCATTTTTCTTGTTTCTTTTGTCATCATTTTCTTGTCAATTTTTTTCAGAAATGAAAATTTGTTGAATATGTAAATTCTCAAAAAAGGGAGTTGTTAGTTTTAGCAGCAAAATAAAGGAATTTTGGATTAATTGGACCCATGGTTAAACCAGTTGTTACGGAAGAAGCTTTTTTGGTGCGACATTTGGGTGATTCTGTTCTTCAAGTTAGCAAACAGAAACTCAAAAAATAAGCTTAGTTATCAATTAAATAACTTTTATTCTACAACAGATTTGATTCTTTAGATTAATTCCGAAGGATTGACTCCACTATATTCAAAATAGATTAGACTCCTAGAGGCTAGAATATTAGGACGCAATTATGAAGCATCACCTCTTCCATTGGACCCAAATCTCGGATGTCTTGCTTCTCAGTTGGTAGAAATCTCACCCTTACATTCTGTAATTGTAGATATCTGTCTTTGAATGTAGAATCATGATCCCTAAAGTCAAATTCCTATGGAGGAGATACATTCAAACTTCTAGAAAACAATCTGGTTGTGACTAGAATTTTTGTGAAACTAATATGATTTTTATCTCTCACCTTCCAATCAATGGGATATACATAAGAATACCCATCTTCATAGTCTACAAAAGCTCGATATCTGTCTGGAACTTCTACACAACAAAGAGTAATTTAATTCCAAAATTTCAGAAGATTATGACTTATCTAAGTTTTACACATGAGCAAATACCTTTAGTAAAGTGAAGCTCAATAACACAAAATGTTATCACATCAAAAAGCATGAATACCTTAAGCAAAGAGCAGCTTTGCTGGTTGTAAATTTGCAGTTAATGCTCCAATACCCAACAATAACGGTCTTCTCTGGCAATGGCTTGAAAAATGAAAATCATTAGCTTTCCTCTTCTCTTCTTCATGCACTCTGATTTTCAGTCTTCCTTAACTCTCATTGATATTCATTTGCGATTTTCTCCAACTCTATAATTGCCATCTTTACCATTCATTTTCTCGTGTAACAACTACTCGAATCTTGATACCTCTGGGCCAGATCAACCATTCAAAAAATAAAAGATCCTTTTCAAGTAGAGCTTTTCGTATAACAAATTTTAGTAAATCAAGAGAGGGATATACTTATTCTCAAGTTAGAATAAGAGTTTACTTAATAGTTAATACGGAAATAATAATAACATTTAAAAAAAGAAATCGTAGTGTCCAAACAGAATTTGTTACATCTAAATAAGTGTTTCATGCACTATGATTAACAATAAAAGTGATAGTGGCAAAAAACCTTGTTTGGATAAACTTTTGTGCGAGCACTTAAAAGAGAAGAAAATAATCAGGTAAAATGAATTAAACCTCTTTTGTTAGTAGAACTAACTTATGCACTTCAATTTTTATAGAAGTTTTCTGATCTAACTTCTCCAGAAGTCGAAATGCATGTTAATTTTGAATTCTGGAAAATTTGATTATTATTTTTTGTTTCTTATATTATTAGTACTTATAGAGAAGTTTTTTCAAACAAAGCCTTATTGGATTATATAGCGGAAGCTCTTTATGACTTGTTTCTTTGTGTTTAGCATTTGGTCCATGAAGCATTGCTCTTTGTTAATTTGTGTGGAAGATGTAATTGAGTAAGTGATTCTTGTGTAGCATTTAATTTAGTCAAGTTCTGATACAAAAAGCATCATAACATGAAACTTTTCTATTTTGTTATATTAAATGATTCTTGGGGAAAATGACATGAGACTAGTACCTAGTGTTGTTGTGTAAGCTTTGAGTTTATAACAACAGACTTCTTAGTAATAGTTTGATGACGTGTGCCTTGGATTTCCTGCATTTCAGGTTAAGTGCTTACGATTTCTGATGTAATGTAGTTATTCATTCATAGTTATCACTTTGTAGTAGATCTTGTACAATCTATGAGACAGGAATTTCCATTACTTATGGCTATTGCATTGCATATGCAGATTCTAAAGAGAAAAGTCATCAACTTAATAACATTTGTCTTGAGAATTTATTTGACATCAACTTAATCCTATTAGGCCATAGATGGGATAAAGCCTACAAGGGCAGAAATCTTTATATTAACTCATAAGAAACGTAAAGATGGAAGACCATTGGATGAAATGTCTGCAAAAATAGTGGTTAGATTTTTTTAAGCAATTTTTATACTTGTACATATTATATATGACATTCGAATTATTTTGAATATTTTTATATTAATTGTGAGTATGCAATAACTTCAAACTTGCTTACATAGGATGTGATGCAAGAAAAATTGAATAATGGTGAAACATCTAATGAAAAACCTATTGATAATGTTGCTTGGGAAGGAGATGTGTATTCCCAAGTATTGGGGCTGAAAGAAGTGGCTATGTTCATGGCTTAGGACTTGGTCCAACACCTTTTTTGTTGTGGGGTTCTAAATCTTCCATAGGAATTACTTTTGCTGATAATATATCTAATGAGGTAGTACAAAGATTAGAGCAAGAAGTGAGGATGTTAAAGGAGTTAAAGGAAAAACATGATGAAGAAATGAATTTGATGAATCAAAATCAAGATAGATTACTTTTAGAACTATCTTTCATTAGAAAATTCATGTATAAACATTTTCCAATGGAGCTATCTATGCCTCAAAAGTTCAATGGAAGCTCATTTGGACAGGTATGATTCAAATGCTTTTAAACATTTTTTTTTCCAAATTTTGATTGTAAAAGACAATTTTATTTTCTTATGTCTTAATTAGGTATTTGTTACTAATATTGGCCAAGAAAAAGTACCAGAAATGCCACACATGTCCTTTGGTACTCATGGTAATTTGTTAATGCTTTTTGTTTTTGTACCTATAAATACTCTTTGTAAGGCGTACATTTTAACACTTTTTTTCTTTTTGGATTTGTAGAATCACAATTACCTACAAAATCTACTACAAATATGAAAATAGGTTTGGCCCATGTCTTCTTGTTTTACACATGCTATTTTTTCTTATAGAGGTTTAAGTTACTTTTGTAAAAGCATGGGTAACATGAACAATAAACTCATGGATATAGGCTCTTAATTACACTTAAGGCAATAGGATAGCAACTTGTATAATTAAATGACTTTTAATAGCGTGTTTACAAATCTAAATTTTCTACTTGTTGATTTCTTGTAATGTCTCAACACTCAAACTTTTTGTTTGGATTTGTAGAATCACAATCAACTAAAATTCCAACTGTTATAATGAAATCAGGTTTTAAAAAAATATTGTTGCTTCTCTTTAGAGTATTTAATTTTTTTTTGTAGAGTAATTTGATTTATTATAATATGTAGAGGCTAACAAAAACAATATGGTTCAAGCTGATGACCTCACTTCCTTGCTCAAGCTTCTTAGAAAAGATAATGATGAAGCTGTTCGCATACTAGCAGCAAAGGCAATTGCCAATCTGTCCATGAATGGTGATTATTTATTAGACATTGTGTTAACAAAGATGTTGTTACTGTTTTTGCTCATAATTTCATTTCCTTATGATGATTAGGTTAGAGGAGGAAAATTACTGTATATTCTGTTTAGATAGATGATGCATATGAACCCATTTTTTTATTATATATTAGATGCTAGGTAAATAAAAAATTTAATTTGGAAAATACCTAAAAATAAATTCCTGGTCGAGTTGTCGCTCTACGCTTCTAGTTCCATGAAGTTATTGTAGCCTTTTTTATAAGCTTAAATATCATATTTAATTTATTTCTTGAATAAAGATAAAATTCCAAGTTGTTATGCTTTTGTCTTAACACGAAAAAAGAATTCATGAATTACGGTTAAAGCTGATAGTTGCTTTTTATTGATTGTACTATTTCATGTGTTATTTTCATTGAGTTTTTCATGCTATTGGTTGTTTCCATTCTGTGCAAGTTGAAAAATAATTGGATGTGCAAATAGTATTAGGACCAAATTCACTCTGAATGCTTTATTTTAGAATTATAAATTTCGAGTCCTTGCATCTAGAACATAGACAAGCACAACATCTTTGGCTTTTTTAATTCATGCTAAATTGTGTAATTTGGAACTAAAGATGTTAAGATCCACATATTACACCCTTTTATGGTATTGGTAACTTTATAATTAATGTTCTCAATTGGAATTTATAGATAAGATGGTGGAATATCCTCTGCCATAAGAGAGAAAGGGAGCATAGCTCGTGATGCTGGTACATATAATTAACTGTTTGGATTCTTTGGGATTTCAACAGTCTTCTAGAACTTTTCCTTGATCTATTTTTTGTCCAATGAACTACTTGGCTGAATTTACATGCATGTTGCTTCCTTTATTAAATTTCTGTTAATATATGCTCCTCATTTCATTTCATTTGATTGGGAAAGTTTTTTAGGTACTTTTTCTAATTTTTTTCTTCTTAGGCATCCCAGGTCATGGTTTTTTTGAATAAAGAAAAATAAAATTCACCTATTTGATTTAAGTTTCATTACTAGATAGAACACAATGGCTTTCTGAAATAAGAAAGACTAAATTCACCTATTTGATTTAAGTTTCATTACTGGATATATTTTCCTGGTCGAGTTGTATAATGCAGAACTGAATCATTAATTTTGATCTAAAGAAGTTAGGAGGTAGACTATGTTGCTTACAGGAACAGAGAACTAGTAGTCCAGGAGGTAGATTATGTTGTCTTTTCTATTGGTCAATTCTTACTAATTATTGGAATACATGTATGTAGTGACATCCATTTGTTTATTTTGTGCTTTGCAGGATTCAATTGCAATTGATGAAGACCTTTTAGACATTTTAGCAAATAGCACCAGATCATTATATACCTTGCTTTCTTTGGGGATATGACTATCTTATAAATGAAATTATGTAATTTCTTTGGATCATGACATCATTTACTATTCATTTTATATTTTCAATGGTTTCCTTGGTATATCAAGGATATGATAAACTCATAAATTTTGCATTACTCTAATAATGGACATCTAGTGTTATTGCAAATATGTAGTAATCATATCAAAAATTTATTATTCTCATTATTTTTATGAGAAATGGTGAATGAGAATATTAGTAAAGAAAATAGTTTGCTTTATGTAGTAATCATATCAAAAATTTATTATTCTCATTATTTTTATGAGAAATGGTGAATGAGAATATTAGTAAAGAAAATAGTTTGCTTTATGTAGTAATCATATCAAAAATTTATTATTCTCATTATTTTTATGAGAAATGGTGAATGAGAATATTAGTAAAGAAAATAGTTTGCTTTTTAAAAAATCAATGGTTGAAAAATTGAATTTGATTCCCTCATCAATTTCAATGCATGGACTAAAAATAATTTTATTTAATTGAATTTAACTAGTTGAGTATCAATAAGCTATCAAAATAAATTATTTTATTTAATGAAATTCAATTGTATTTCTATACAATTTTTTTTTTACATATATGAGAATCCATTATTTAATGAAATTACTTTTAGTGACTATTAAAATTGTTGCTAGAATTGTCATTAGTTTTTTTTTATTTTTCTCAGCCATTTAAAAGGTCTTTATCAACACTTACTTTAAATGCTACTAATAGTTTCACCGACTCCAAATACACCCGCCATAATCTAATTGCCGGTAAAGATATTAATAGTCATTTGTATGGTCACTAAATAACATAAAAATTGCCACAAAAAATAATTTTTGGTGTTGTGTTTCATTCCAAACACAAACTATAAATTAATAAATTAAGGAATACTTAGATAATTTTTTTTATCAATATTTATACCGGAGGAAAATATAAAAAAAATGAAATAATTTTTTTTATAAATTAAAATTAATTTGTACATGAATTAATTTGTAAAAATTCTTTCATATTAGTTAAACTTATTTAAACTTATACATAAATTTATTTTTTAATATGTAAAGAAACTAATTTCATTTTTTTCTTTTTATATATTTCTCTTTTAAAATTTGTAGAGAAGTTTATCAAACAAACCTAAAATACTACCTAGATTAGAATTTAAACTCCTTTAATTCAATTTTTTCCCTTCATCATTACAAAGGTAAACTTTATATATAGATAAACATCTAAGAAAATAACAAAAGGACCACCATTGATAGAGAAAGTTTACAACATTTTTTATCTATCCTTAACCCTTGGAAAGATGTTTGTATACAGAGAATTTGAGTTAGTTTGAACTTACAAGATTTTTCGGTGTGATTAGTTTATCTATTGATCAAAGCTTCATATTGATAAGTAGTTTTTAAAAATGACTATAATAAATCTTTCAAGTTTTCTTTGTAAATTTGCTTCATCTTTATTCTTCCCATGAAGAAGTTTTTGTTGGTTTTAGATTAATATTTTTTTACTAAATTATCACTTCTTTTATATATATATGTATATATATATATATATATATATATATGGGCCTACTTATCATTTTTGTTTTTGAAAAGGGAGTGAAAAAAGATGTTGGGCTCAGATGTAGCTACTTGGACATTTTGGAAAAAAAGGCCCAATTTTCTTTAGATTCCGGTATACCTACTTATGAGGCGGCCCATCATTGCTTGGGATTAACTGAGATATTGGGCTTGGGATATTTAACATTGGGTTCATGATATATACACCTCCTTTTTTCTATAAATACACCTCTTTTTTTAAAAAAAATAATTAAATTTTAAAAAAAAAATTTATCTTTTTTATTTTTTAATTTTACACCCACAACATTTTATTTAGTAAATTTTTACACATCTTTCCTCTTTTTTCTTTTTTTTCAATTTTTATATGTACTTCCTTACCTTTCCTTTACCCCACCTATTTTAGTAGTATGTGATAATTGAAAGAGAAAAAAAGTGTGTGAATAAAAAGAAAGTAGCAAATTAAAAGTTAAAGGTGTAAAATTAAAAAAATAAAATAAAAATGACAATATTTTATAGTTTTTTAAAAAATAAAGGAGGTGCACTATAAAAAGGCTCATGATATATACACTTCCTTTATTTTTTAAGTACATCTCCTTTATTTTTTTTTAAATTATAAAATATTGTAGTTTTTTTTTTAATTTTCTAATTTTACACCTTCAATTTTCAATTTGCTATTTTCTTTTTTTTTTCACACACTTTTTTTTTCTTTTAGTTTCCACATGCTACCAAAATAGGTGGGGTGAAGGAAAGATAAGGGGGTGTATGTAAAAATTGAAGAAAAAAAAAAGGAAGATGTATGAAAAAAAATACTAAATTAAATATTATAGATATAAAATTAAAAAATTAAAAATTAAAAATATTTTAAAATTTTAATTATTTTTTTTTCAAAAAGGAGGTGTACTTATAGAAAAAAAGAGGTGTATATATCATGAACCTTAACATTGTTGTTAAATAATGTTCAATGTTGTTGAGGGAAAAAAAACGTGTGTAATCTTGTCACTGCCACGAGTGTTGAATTATATATGACTCTTTAAACGTTCAAAAGTCTAAAATTTGCATTTGACTTCAATCTTAGATATATATATTCCTTCCATCTTATAATTAGTGTCATATTTAAAAAATAAATAAATTTTAAAATAAATATTATGTTAAATTTTTAATATAATATTAATTTTTTCTTTTTTACTCATAATATTGTTTTAAAAATGATTATTATATTATATTATTTCTAAAAAACAAAATTAATCATGAAATTAATTTTATAAAATTATTATTTATTATCTATTTATTATTTTTTCTTAATTTGTATAAAACAACTTAAGATCCACACATATTTGTGCAGCTGTAGAAGAAAAAAACATTTATTTTTGCAAGTGATTGTAAGAAAATCATTAACCTCATATTTTCTAGAAATCGTGTAAAAGAAACTAAATAATGGGATAATCTTCAAATTCAGAAAAGCATGAGGAATTGTTTTTAAGTCGATTAATTATTATGACAAGGAAACAACGTAACGTTTGAAAATTGGGGAGAAATTAAAAAAAAAATAAAAAATAATTGTATCCATATCATATGAATCATGTTTTGCTAAAAGCATGGAAAATTCGTCAAACATGGCCTAATAATTATTGAAAGGTAAAAGATAAAGAGTACGTCAAAATTACTGTGTAGCGTGGTCAATACCACACGCAATCTAAACCCATTCGCGCGTCTACATTAAACAAAGGAAAATGCTGCATCCTCCGAATGAGTAAGCCAAAATTTCTTCCGAAATATTAAAAAATTAATTTAAATAATAAAATGTTAAATTAAATAATTATTTTATAATATATTTATTAAAAAATAATAATATTTTAATAATTTGGACGATGAATTCTGTAGCAATGCTCTAAAACAAAGTACTCTTAATTTCACAGTTTCATTGAAACAAGTGGAGAGCATTTGGCGGGTTCGTATATAAGAACTATTTTTATTACCATGCACATGCAAAATATTTATATTATTTAATTAAAATTTATAATAAATTATATATAAATAAGTTTTATATTTATGTATTTTAATATGTAAATTATATTATAATTAAAATTTATAATGAATAAATATTATACACATAAATATTATATTTAAAATTTATGATAAATAAATATTTTTAGACATAAAAATTATATTTTAAATTTATGATACATAGTTTGTATTGTGATAATTTTAAAAAAAATATATTAAAATTTAATCTAAAGATAATATGTAAAAAAAATTAAAAAACCTTTTTATTGAAAAAAAATTCTAGAATTTTGTTTTAATTGGAGAAAAACTTCTAAAATACTTTTGTTAAGATAATTAATTTCATTTATACATACAGAGTGATTATTGTTGTTAAAGAGGTAAACAAGTAAAAACAAATTAACCAGTTGAAGCTTTTTCAAGTGATCCGTTCAATTTATTTATTTACAAGAATTAATGAAAACAATAACATTTAAATTTAAAAATTCTTCCATATAACTTAAATTTTATATCACAATTCACTAAGTCAATTTTGGTAGTTAAATTGATCTATCAATTGGATGTCTTGCTAGTTATACTCTATTTATTTTAGTCTGACTTTTAAATAAACTGTAACCATTTATTACAAGCGATTTGGTTCTAAATATAGTTTCAAACTCTAATTTGTATATGGCTTTTGATACATGTTGTACCAGTTTAATATACCTCTTTTGCCGTTAAAAATAAATAAATAAACAAACAAACGAGAAAGAATTGATGACAATTATAAAATATTAGTGATGTCAAAACACTTTTAAAAATAAGATAAAAATTAAAATTAAATAATAAAAATATGTTAATTCAATTAATACTGTGATTTATTCATGATAATAAAGTATTAATATTTTTAATAATAAAAATGTATAAAATATGAAAATTAAAGTGATTATTAAAAGAAATATCTCTTTTTATATTTTATATATTATATATTTTCTATGTTATATATTAGTATAGATAAGTGAAAACCAGAGACAGATGAATATCTTGTGTGCTTTGCATGAAGCGGATGCTATTAATTAATTTTTCCAAAAGAGAGTGATAATATATAATTAATATATATCTGAAATTAAGCAAGAAGTATGTTGTGATGACACGCGTGGCCAGAAATTATACATTTTATTTATGAAAAAAAGAATGTTGTTTATGTGCAAAATTTCTACTGTGTTAAAATTTATGGAATAATTTATTTGTTTTTGAATGTGATAAATGCATCACACAGAAAAAGGAATTTCTAATTACACGTTATGAAAGGTCACTGGAGAGAATATTGGACTGAGTTTAAGGTTGACATGCTGTAGAGTTTAATAAATTATTTATTTATGAATAGTTTTTTTTAATAGTTGTTTGAACTAGAAAATAAAGTAATTTAAAGATAGAATCCCCATCTTTTTCCCAATATAAAAAGATAGGAAAACTTATAATAATAAAATAAGAATTTAATTAAATATTTAAAAGCAGAGTACTAAAAAATCTATAAAAGGATAAAGAATTAATGTACTTTCTTAATTATATATTGGGACTGTACGGTTTTGATTTTCTATGCTAGATTGTACGTGTTTGTTAATTAAGAGTAATAGTCAAACATAGCCAAATTTTCCAAAGTATGATCTAAAAGAGTCAAGTATAGTCTGGTGACAAAAATGAATGTTTACATTGACCAGTCTTCCGAGATATGTGACAAAGATTAATTTAATTATTGCACGAATGCAATGAATAATTTAATAATGATCGATGTTGAACATGCATCATGATTGATATTGTAATCATTAAGTAGGAAAGTGATATAACGTAAAAAAAAAAATTATTTTTAAAAAAAATTTCTATGAATATTTTTTTAAAAAAATTATGAGTAATTAAATAGATTTTAATTATTTTCATACAAAATGATTTATGAGGTTTGTAGTTTTTAAGAATACTAATTTTTAAATATGACAAAACTTTTTTCTTATTAAAGTTAGTTAATGATTCTTTGATGGGAAAATGGAGATGGTGTCTTCAACAAAAAGATAGTACATGGGCAAAATTCTTATCATTGTATACACGTGTGATCCATCATATTTTAATTCTCTCTCTATAACTTTTAAAGTTTATTGTGCGTGAACAAATTCTCATTAGGTTTAACTAATTTCAACCCTTTGAATTATAGTCAAAGTTATTATTAAATAATCAAATTAAAAGAAGATTTATATCCTCCGAAAACGAAACGAAATAGCGTCCAAAATTTTAAAATATTAATACTTTTCAATAAAATTATTATTAAATAATTATTTAATTTAATATTTTATAATTTAAATTAATTTTTTAAAGATTCAGAATATATCTCGGAACATGTTTTTGGAGGATGTAGAATTTTTCATTAAAAAATCTATGTACGAATTGGGTGTTTATTGAAATGTCAAAACAAGAGAAAATTTAGATATTTAGTTATATCTCTAGTAGTATTAATTTTCAAATTTCACTGCTTTCTAGATGATTTCTAATTTCTAATTTTTTTTTATCTCGGTTTAGTATAAAATATAAATAGATAAATTATTTACGAGATTTATTAACTAATTAATTAATAATATATAATAGATATATGATACATATACAATGATTGTGCAATGTCATTTTTATGTTTATTTTTCTATATCATATTTTTTTACATTTTAAATTTCTTTCTCTTAATTGTACAAATTGTTGTACAAGTATCATATATAATATATTAGAATTTGAATTCACAATTTAAGTATTTTTCATATATAACAAACATTTCCTTTAATTTTGAAATATACTTAAACTTTTTCTTTTTTGAAGAAAAGAAAGGCATAAAAAAAAAATCCATGTATATGTGCAATTTCAATGTATTTCAATAGATTTGTTCGTGCTTGCTACATAGGCTTCTTTAATTTAAAGGGAAAAAGAAAACAAGTATATATATAAACCCTAATTGAAAAAGATAAACAATGAGAAACAATTAAACGTTATAAGTAATTTACACCAAGAAAAAGACATGCAATGTGAAACATAGATGTTGAATATGTTAATGTAAGACTTTGAAGATACGCGTGGGATATATAAGACCATGGTCAGAGCTTCAACCTAATCATTGGAAAGTAGTTGTGAGTTCTCGAATAATTAGGGATCAAGGTATTTAATAAGTGATTTTTTAAGACTAAGAAGAATAAATTTATAATAATAAATAAAAGAGATGATCATTTCTCACAACTGCTTTTAATCTCGATATTTATTAGAGTATTTTGTCTTTAAAATAATTTTTTTTATTGAGTATAATCATACATTATTTCTATTATAAATGAACTTTTTTTTACTATTTACACAATTATTTATTTTATCCCACTAATATTGATAGTTACATGATTAAATTTTATTATTCTTACTAACTAGTCCTATGAGTTTTGTCATCATTTTCAGGGCAACCCTCAAAATAGCTCTGCATTCTTTCATAGAAGAATCTCAAAATTAATTATGTTTAAAGCAAACGATATATTGCAGTCAAAATAAAGAATAAGAAAAAACTGTCCCTTTCAAGTTTGAACACGTGATTTTGATTAATTTTATAATATTGTGATTAATTTTCTCCCTGACAACGCTCTTTGATTAGACGTGTGATTGTAGAATGAATGAGAAGTGAGAACCCAAATAAATATTTAATTTATGTGTCCATCCCCACTACGAATGTCATTAAAGAGTACGAATTACGATCTTATTAGTTTATTCTTTTCTTCTAGCTTAGTACAAATGATCAAGCAACGCCACAAAACCATTATCACGTTAATATTTTTTTATTTCTTAAATGTGTTGTTATTCCTTCAATTTTAATGTAAATTTACTTTTGTCATTCAAATTTAAAGATGTTATTTTTATTATTTTAATTTTAAAAATATTATTTTAGTCTCTCATATTATCTAATATATATAAAAATATAAATTGAGATAGTTAAATATTATTAATCGAATTTAATGTGATATTTTTATTATAAAAAATTAATAAATAGATTTTATGTAACAATATTTAATAAAATTTAATTATAAAGACTATAACAATTTTTTTTGAAATTATATGATTAAAAAGATTAATTTTAAATTTGAAAAGCTAAAAATAAATTTACTTTAAATTTAAATGACAAAATATATTTAAATATTTATTTTTATCTTTATACATTAAACAATATAATAACAATTTAAATATAAAACTTTTTATGTATTACCCTAACTCTACCAAGTCCTGTAATTATATTATCACACTAATATAGAAAATAGAATCAAAATAAAAGTTTATAAGTTTCAAGAATATGAGTAATTAAATTAATAACATGAAATTCCTCCATAAATTTGTTACATTTCTCTTTATTATCATTATCATGAAAAACAACACTATTCATATTCCTATCACAATATATCATCACATTTTGCAATACCATAACAATGGGGAAGAAAATAACACATTTTCGTGCATACATTCCTTGTTATTATTGCCATATAGAGCCTAAGGAAAACTGCCACACATTTGAGTGATTTAGCTCCAAATCCACCAAAGAGCCATCCTTACTACGCTTTGAGGCCACCGTAGACGAGGATGGACGCAAGGAAGAAATATCCAATGAACGTTTCTTCATTGTAACTTTAACCGGCTCAGCATGATCTGAGCCGATTAAATGAGGAAAATTCAACTTAACTTTCGAGCCGTGCATCTTAAACGCGGCTCGATCATAAGCTAAAGCAGCATCCTCAGAAGTTTCATAAGTACCAAGCCATATCCTTACACCATTCCTCTTAACATCTCTTATCTCTGCCGCAAACTTTCCCCACGGCCTCCGCCGCACGCCACGGTAGCTCCACCCTCTTCTAGGAGGCGCGTGAGTGCCACTCACGGTTGCAATGTCACTATTTTTACTCCCATTTTCCATTTTCACAGCTACATCAACTTTACTCACCCTATTCTCATTGGTGGGAGACCATCCGGTGGTGGCGGCCTCCCGCAATGCGCCGTAGATGACCATGTCATCGGTGTCGTCCTCCTTCAGCGGCAGTTCCGCCCAGTTCTCTGCCAAGAAAATGTCTTGAAAGCTCGAGCTCTGGCCGAACACCGCCGCCGAAGAAATCGATGTGAAAGCATCATGAAACGGCGGCGGTGTTTCGGAGAGCACAAAGCTATCAAGGGCATTCATGTTATTGTCCAAAGCATGAGGACTCATCGTTCTTTGGTTTTTCGGTACTTCGTTGGTTGTGTGGTTTGGTGTGAATCGTGAGTGTTGGGTTTATGTTGGTGTTTGCTTTATATAGGGAAAAAAAAGTTAGATATAGAAGATAGAGAAAAGCGCTAGTATAAGATTCAATTCAATCGTAGCATTGATTTATGGTGGTTCCCTGAACGTTCTTTATTTCCATGTGGAAGAAGGGTTTGTTTCACGTGATTAATATTCACAATTTTATTTCGAAATACAAAAAAAGTTGATGATTAGTTGGTGTTTGTCCCCACTATTCTTGTTTATTCTATCATTTAATTTCTATTAATATAACATTGGTCAGATTTGAAACTTGAAAGTGACGAACGTCATATCATATATATTAGTTTCCAATTAAAACAATGAATGTCCCCCAATGTCATGTACGTCCTACTATAAACTTGTTTTCTTGGGACCCACTACTCTTTAGTTAACATTTTCTAAATTATAGCTTAATTCTTTTATGATTATAATTTTTCTAAGAACTGAAATTACTCTGAGAATATTAAAGTTGAAACTTATAAGTAGCATGTGTATATTATTTAGTTTTCTCTTTTTTTGTTTTCGTAAATATATATTAAGAACATAAGAAAAACAGAATAATAAAAGGAAATACATTACTATAGTGACATACAAAAAAATTGTCACTATATCCACATTTTTTAATAATATACTAACATATATTATATTTATTACATAATAAAAATAATTTTTAGTTATAATTTTTGTGTTACTAATATTATTATATGACAATTTTCTTGTAGGATAAATTTAAAAGTATTAGTAGAAGTGTATGCAGTTTCAAGAAATTACATTGAAAATAAAATATAAAATTATTAATCCTCATTTAAATAAGAAGAGAAAAAACTAATTATCGACATGGACAGAATCTATGCAATGACATTTTATATAACATGTGATAATATGGACGGAATTGTTTTACAGTAATATATGCTCGCACGAGGTTGATTCTACAGAATTTCAAAAGAAAAAAGATCCCTTTCTCCGAAAGAAAATTATAAATAAAACGGTCAAACATTGTAATTATTTTAAATGCAAAAGCAGACAGAAAAAAAAAAGTATTAATTAATAAATTGCATGTGTGTCGGTGGCAACCATGCCTTCAGCTGAACTTGAAAAATGCTATTATTTGCTAGTTCCCACTTCCCACTCATACATTACAAAATAATTAATAGGTGCTTCTAGAAGTTTGTACACACTTTAAAGACAATCTTTTAAAACTCGAATGCATGATTGTTTCAATAAAAGTACTGAGAGAATAGGTTGTTGGTCCAACTATTGAGTCACTTCTTAAATTACATGAATGAGTAAAGTACTAATATAAATAATATAGTACATATTTTTAAGGTTATAACTTACTAAACAAATGTTTATTGGTTGTTGGTGTTGTTGTTATGCCTTGTATATATTCGAAATTGAATCACAGCAAATGTGACACGTGTGACGGATGTTGACATGTATGGATGGTGAATGATGGATGATGTACATGTTATTCATGATGATCATCATGGATATGAGAGATCATTCATATATGTTTGCGTTAGAGAAAATAAGTTGTGTATCTTATTGTTTCCATCATTTTTTTTTTATCGGCAAAGAAAGGAATTTATATATAAAAACTGATAAAGGTTACCAAAACTCATATATATACATCAATCACTCAAATTACAAAGAATATTAATAAGAGAAATTGATGTATATGGTTATATTTTATTTATGAAGCAACGAGTTATAAATAAAAGATAACCAATCAGTTTAAATGCATCCAACATTATGGGCAACAGAGAGAGAATCTAATACTTATGCTTGAAACCTTTCACCAACACTGTGTAATCAACCAAACCATGATTTTGGTTCAAACTATTACACTTTTGCACAAATGCTATGCATAAATATGCAACTGAGATCGCAACGGGACGATAAATATAAAATTTAAAATAATAAAGTCGTCACTAACAATTATTTTTATAGAAAATATCAGAAAAAATCACAAAGTAAAAAATGGTCTACAAAAGTCAGATTTTGAGTTCGAAAATCAATTACGTGTAAGAAAGGTATCAATACCTTATAATATTCGTCTTAAGATGATTACTTTTAATTAATTAAATAAATTATTTATAACTTATAAAATATTTATCTCATCCTAAATTAATTAACTATAATGATCAAATGCATTAAAATTATTATTGTTATATAAAAAGAAAGATAATATTATTTATTTATTTATATTTATTCTTTTATTTTTATTTTTTTTGGGCTCGACAAGATTTACTTCTTGCTCCTACGTATCTCCATGTGTAATAAAAGAATCAGAGTCACATAGTTCTTTGTAGAAAATATTTATATGTTGATATTTTTTAATAAATTTTATTTTTTTATTTAATTTAAGATTCCTGAACTGTCTCAGTTCATTCACCCTAAAATATAAAATTGACTGAGGTGTACACCAAAGTCAACTCAATAAAATTTTAATTATAATTATTGTTATAGATATTATTGTCTTAAAAGAATTTTTGGTTGGATATTTTTGTTTTGGAGAAGAAAAATTTAAAGATATCAAGTCGTCACAACTTGTATTTTAAATTCAAAGGTTAAAAAGATATCACACCTAATTAACCATTCCTCCAATAAAATTTTCGATATAATGACTTCAAATATTTATATTCAATATTGTAAAAATATATTTTTGATGTTTAATCATACTTTGAATTTAAATAAAGACTTTAAGATGACAAATTGTCACAACTTGCACCTTTAAGCTCTAGAATCAAGAGAATGTTACATTCAAATAATCCCTTTTTAAAATGATAGATATTATTAATATAAATGTTGATAAGAGAATATCACGTTAATTATTATTGTTATTATTATTACTATTATTATTATTATTATTATTATTATTATTATTATTATTATTATTATTGTAGTTGTAGGATCTTTGAACGGTCACAATTCACGTGTCTTATAGGGTGGAACCAACTAAGGTGTACTCTTAGCTAATTCCCTTTTTTTAAAAATAGTTTGATATGTTTTAAAGTTTTAAAGAGAAGTTTTAGGACCATCAAACTGTCACTGCTTGCTTCCAAACCTTTAGGATTAAATAAATGTTTCATCTAATTAATCCATTCTCTTTAAAACAAAATGTTAGAAAAATCCTTCCTTTCTTATAGTGAATAAAATTATTAGGTTTTCATTGTATATAACACTAAAATTATTAGGTTTTCATTGTATATAACACTATTTTTATTATAATGACTTAGTCTAAATTAACAATTATGAAATATTTTATTTTTTTAGAAGAGAACTTAGAATTGCAAAGTTATCACAATTTGTACTCTAAGATTTCAAGATTAAGAAGACATCATGTTTAATTAATCTATAAAGTAAATTTGATCTATGATTAAATAGACATGTCCAATTAATTTGTTTAATAAAGTAAATTTAATCGATTATTAAACATACTATAAAAAAAGGATATTCAAAAAAATATGATCAAATTGATATCACGTAAGAATGTACAGATGATGGCAAAAACTAGGAGAAGTGATAGGTGTTCTTCTCCTCGGATTCACCAAAGCTTGGACCTCTTGAATGGAGCTTGAAACCGAATGGATGAACACTTGAAATGGAGGAGGTTCTCGGATTAGAATAGCCTAGACTAAGGAAGGAAGTACCCTAGCTTAAGGTGTAACAACCTAATTTTCATAGAATGTAGGAAGGCCCAGAAGCTCAATAAGGGTAATTTAGTAATTTGCAGGGATGTTTTAGTAGCCTAGAACGGGTCGTTCCAAATGACTAAAACGAGAGTGATTTTGTATACCAGAACGGGCCGTTCCCAAACTGGAACAGGCCGTTCCAAAATACAAAAAATCATCTACAAATTTTAGATGCATGGGAACGGGGCGTTCCCAAATTGAGAATGGGCCGTTCCAAGGGGAAAAACTTTATGTACATAAAAGACCATAGAATCCCTTTTTAAAACAAAAAATATTTCTCTCCTTCTATTTCACTTTCTCCCTCTCTTTCTTTCTCTCACTCCTACTCCCCTTCTCTTTTCCTCTCTCCCTCTCCTTCTATTTCTTTTTCTCACTCTTTATCTCTCTCACTCTCACTCTCAGTCCACCTCTCTATCTCTCTCCCACACCTTTACTCTCCCCTTCCCTTCTCTTTCTCCCTCCCTATCTATATTTCTCTCTCTTTATTGTATCTTATTATTTCTCGATTTTGTCAATTTTAATAATATTATTAAAATCTATTTTGTTTGAACATTTTAATGATATTTGTTAATATTTTTATATTTTTTATTTGAATGAAATAAAATAATATATTTTTATTCTTCTTAACTATAATGTAGCATTTTTATTTTTTTATTATGTTAAATTCTATATTTAAATACTTTTAATAAGTTTTCAAATTTTTGAAATAGTTTAATATCATTTTTGTAATAAAATTTAAGTAAATAAATATATATAATGAGTTTATTTTAATAAAAAATATTTTTGTAAAAAATATTTATAAACCTAAGAATATACTATTGTAACCAAACATGAAAATCTTTAATTCCCGGGAAACATGTATGAATATTCTTAGGAACTTTTATGAATAACCAAACATATATAATTCCTCATCCAAACACACTAACCCTATGCATGTTAAAGACTCCTTACCATAATACCTCAAGGTTTAGGTAGATGACCATAGTGACCCTCCTTCCTAGATTCATACTACCTTGAAAACAAAAAGACATAATGTGAAGAGGTTAAAGACCTTTCTACTTGAATCACTAGTACAGAATACGCATTTTACGTTGGTTATTTTAAGGGTTTTACGTCAGTAAAAGCTCCCACGTTGAAGCGGGAGACGTAAATTTACGTCGGGGTGTGAAAACCGACGTAAATTTACATCGGACATTACAAGGTCCGACATAAAAAGTTGTGAAAATTTAAAAAAAGAAAAGAAAAATGACTTCAATCAGAACGGGCCGTTCTGGTTGGAGAATGGCCCGTTCTCCAAGCAGCACGACCCGTTCTCCAAGCAGAACGACCCGTTCTACA